CGCAATACTTACCCGGTCTGTTCGAATAGTTATTTTAATGTTAATTGATGTCATGTACATACCATAATATTTTTGTCTTGTTTGGTAAATTATTTTATTGAAACAATACAATGAATGCACATTGTAAATACATGTAGAATACAATAAATGCACATTGTAAATACATGTAGAATCACCGGAGGCAAACTCCGATGTCTTTCATTTGTCCCGTGTTTACAGCACATGTAATTGTTGTTTCAATCAAAGTCACGCCCACCCTGAATAAACCGACTCCCTCTGAAAACCGACCATAGATCCCAGTCCCAGTCATGGTCGGTTTTGACAGGTTTTACTGTATAAAGAATTATTAGCTTAAAGGGCGACAGTCGTCGTGTTCGGTATGGGACTCATAGCGACGTATACAACGTGTGTAAAATACATTGTTTACATGAAATTCGAACACGCGCTGTGCGACGACCACCGCGCTTTAACCATTATATTTTTATGTAGGATACTGATTATATTGTGTGACAACTTTTAACATACAGTCTATTTAATTCTATACCTAATAGTAGAGTCAGCTGATTTGTTTACTGATATAAGAACTCACCCCTTTCGCATTACATATCCATAGAATGAATTAAGAATACATTTATGTGCCAACTGCAGGGAATCATAGAGGACTTCTTTACTTTTACAGCTTTTGATTTCATTTGCTTCTCCTTTATCAATGGCTGCTGCTAACTTGCGTTTCCATACCTGAATATAAACAGAAAACATCCATCAAACAGAGAGAATAAACAGAATACATCCATCAAACAGAGAGAATAAACAGAATACATCCATCAAACAGAGAGGATAAACAGAATACATCCATCAAACAGAGAGAATAAACAGAATACATCCATCAAACAGAGAGGATAAACAGAAAACATCCATCAAACAGAGAGGATAAACAGAAAACATCCATCAAACAGAGAGAATAAACAGAATACATCCATCAAACAGAGAGAATAAACAGAATACATCCATCAAACAGAGAGAATAAACAGAATACATCCATCAAACAGAGAGAATAAACAGAATACATCCATCAAACAGAGAAAATAAACAGAATACATCCAGCAAACAGAGAGAATAAACAGAATACATCCATCAAACAGAGAGAATAAACAGAAAACATCCATCAAACAGAGAGAATAAACAGAATACATCCATCAAACAGAGAGGATAAACAGAAAATACATCCATCAAACAGAGAGGATAAACAGAAAACATCCAT